CTGTTTGCTGCTGCAACCTCAAGTTCAGATAGTGATACAACATTACAAGGTGGGACTCCCCCACCTGGGATTGCCTCATCATCTACTGTTCTTGCCCTGGCTGATGCTTTGATGGATCTGGCAAAGGGCAAGGCCCCAACCCAAAAAGCACCAGCCAACAGCAAGGGGAAAGGTAAGGGACGTGCCTCTTCCCCTGGTGCTCAGAGAGTGCCTTTACCACGTGACGTCCGATGGCCAGTTGACCCGCTTGATCCTTCCACCTTCCCCTGGCATGCACTCAAGATCTAGGAGAGGGTTTGGAGGAAGAGAAAGGACAAGGGTGTCTGCATGAGGTGCGAGGGGGACCACTTCCTAAAGGATTGTCCCAGTATGCCTCGCAGGTCCACAAGCAACTCTAGTTAAAAAAACTAGAGCAGAGGGAGGTGGAAGCAACAACTCCTTCCACCAGTGTTGATTCACTTTCAGATGAGGGTGAACCTTCACAGTCTCTCGCTGGTTCTTCTGTCTTTGGAGTTGCATCTTCAGGGTCTTTCACTTTTGAAGACTCTGAGTTGGATGAGACGTGGGAGGAGGAGGATGCTCGGTTCCTGGCTGATCTTTTTTTGTCCTTATAGGAGAAGAAAAAGCGTAGGTCAGAACTTTGACCCTCTATCTTGGGAGCCAAGATCAAAGGGCTCTTAGACTGTAGCGCTACTCTTAACTTCATATCTCCTAAGGCATTCAGCAAGTTGCACTTGGATCAGAGACTAGTGAAATTGCGACAACCCATAGAGGTTCACATTGGCGACTCCTCCACGGTCAGGATCACTACTGCTGTCAAGGGCCTACCTATGACCTTTGACAAGCAGGGGGAAATCAGGCATCGCCTGAATTTCTGTGTTCCCTAATGTCCCCTTTGACCTTGTGTTCTCCATGCAATGTCTTGGTGCCACAAATCCTAGGATCGACTAGCGGATTCCCAGGGTTGAGCTACTTGACCGGCATGGGGTCTATCGTCCTTCCTTACTTGCAGATGAGTACCATCCGACCAGCAACTGTTATTGCATGAGTGCTCGCAAGTTTATGCGACTTTCACGCCAGAATGACCACACCCGTTTGTTCGTGGCTTATGTCAAACCGACTGATGTGGAGACTGCTCCCTGTCCCTCTCAGATTCAGCAGGTTATTGACCGATTCTCAGATCTTATGGAGGAGCCTACTGGACTTGTCCATCGGTAGACCAAACACAAGATTGAGATTCTGCCTGGTTCGGTCCCTCCCAAGGGTCGAGTCTACAGGATGTCACCTGCTGAACTTGACGAGCTGAGGAAACAGTTGGAGACCCTAACCAGCGAGGGTTGGATCAGGCCCAACACATCTGAGTTTGGAGCACCAGTCCTCTTTGTTCCAAAGGGGAACGATGAGTTCAGGATGTGTATGGACTATCGAGGTCTCAACGAAATCACGAGGAAGTACACAGAGCCTCTTCCTCGCATTGATGATCTGTTGGATATGGTGCAGGGCTGTAGCATTTTCAACAAGATCGATCTCAAATCTGGCTACCACCAGATTGAGATGGTTGAAGGCGGTGTCCACAAGACAGCCTTTAAGACAAGGTATGGCACGTATAAGTACCTGGTCATGCCATTCGGTCTTTGCAATGCCCCAGGCACCTTCCAGACAGAGATGCATCGCATACTCAAGCCTTACCTTAACAGATTTGTAGTTGTCTACTTGGATGATATCTTGGTATTTAGTCGATCTGCCCAGGAGCATGCGTAACATCTGGCTCCGGTCCTCCAGGCCTTACGTGATAACCAGTATAAGATCAACAGGGAGAAATCCTCTTTTGGGGTTCCCTCTGTAATCTATCTGGGTCATGTCATTTCTGGACAAGGGTTGGCTCCTGAAGCAACGAAAGTTGCTGCTGTTCAGGACTGGCTGAAGCCTATTTAACATTCGTGATGTCCGGTCTTTCTTGGGTCTTGCATCTTACTACAGGAAGTTCATCAAGAACTTCTCTTCTATTGCAGCACCCCTGACTGACCTCACAAAGAAAAACACTTCCTTTCTTTGGACATCAGAGTGTCAGGAGGCTTTCACACGTCTCAAGGAGGCCTTGATTCGTGCCCCTGCTTTGAAGTTACCTGACCCTACTTTGCTTTTTGTGCTTACCACTAATGCTAGTCGATATGGTGTAGGGGCGGTACTTCAACATGATGATGGGAATGGTCTGCAGCCAATCGAGTACATGAGCAAGAAGATCAAGACCAAGAAGTTGCAGGATTCCATCTATGAGAAAGAGTTGTATGCTCTTGTGTTGGCGCTCAAGCGTCGGAAACACTTCCTCCTGGGCAGGCACTTCAAGATCTTTTCAGATCACTCCACCCTACAGTGGAGATCGCTCTGCATCTACAAACCTACCTTGTCTTCCATGCATCTAAGTTGTTAGCGTTCACATCAGCGGATGCATTTCCAGACAGATCTCCTCAGTTTTGCCCTCCGATCCTTGAAGGGATATGACGTGGAGTCCATTGAGGACGAGTCAGGTACAAGACCAGGTAAGGAATACCTTGTGAAGTTTTGCCACCAGCCGCACACTGAAGATTGCTGGTTTACTCGCAAGGAACTCCTGAAAACAGCAAAGTTTGTTGTCCTCAGATATGAGGCAGCACAGAAGGGAGAACCCCTTCGACGTTCTGCACGCCTACACCCCTAGCTCGGAGGTCCTCGCTCCGGGGGAGGGCAGGTCTGCAATGACTTGCTGGTTTCTGGTTGCCTGTACCCTCTCTCTTGTCGACGCTGTACCATTTGTAGGTCAGATTCGTAATTTTGTTTGGCTGAGGGCTAACCGAGAGACCTGCATGTACGGAAATCCGGTAGGGACATATCTGCAAATTGGTGAAAATATAGGCCCGTACTAACTGGAATTCCTACAGCTTCCCCAACTGCGAATAGCAGGTCCGGGCTACCCGTAGGACAGACAGGCCCTAAGGGCCTAAGCTGATAGACGGTCCTATAGCCTATAGCCGGGTAGGGAGAGGCCCTAGAGGCCGAAACAGCAAATGGTACCGGTCGGTCAGTCAGTCCGGTCTAGGTCGAGTCTAGGCTAGTTTAGAGTCTTTAGACTGTAGATAGGATGGGCACATCGGTTCAGGGCTTTTGGTGGTTGGTACCGAGTACATCGCTGCTGTGCAACGCGTGAACCGGAAGTGGTGACCGCTCAGCGTTGTGGGAGACAGACATAGCCAGACCTTCGGAGCGTCGGCCATAGCTGGGACCTGTGCTGCACTCTGTCAGCACGTGGGGCTGAACAGAGGTCTGGGTTATTGAGGTCTGCTGGAGGCGAGAGAAGTTGGTGCCCTGCTGGACCCTCCTTCGGAGTAGGGTTACAGGAAGTGGCGCGGCAGCCATAGCTGCAGCTTCTTCCTCAGAGAGCGTCTTGTCAGGAGTGGTGGGGCCGCTGCAGACTTCCACCGGGGAAGTCCTCCGACACTTCATCATCATCAGATACTGTGGCGCTGGTCTTCTTCTTCATCGTCTGAGTGGTGCTTGGTCTCAGAGACCTGTTTCAGGGTGGCGCTTCCCTCTGGAGGCTGTATTTGGGTGGCGCTTGATGTTTCAGGGCCTCAGGGGTGTTACTAGGGGTTACTCAAGGTTGGGGAGTGAAGCGCTGCTCATCTCTGAGCAGTGCACCATAGTCCTGAGGTTATTCTGACAATTTGAGACTCTGAGTTTAATAAATAGTGTGTATACTGTGTGTGACTATCATCGTTGCATTGTTTCCTGGATGTGATCTACTTGGCTTTCCTTCATGACTGGTTGTGAGGATTGAGTGGAGTGAATTGCACTTTCAGTGTACCCTGTCATATCGCATGGACAAGTTATCCGCTGTGTTTATCTCTCCCTGTGCGGTGTATACTCCTATCCTCTCCCCTTCCTTCTGTGTAGTCATCCGCTGTGTTTATCTCTCCCTGTGCGGTGTCATACTCCTATCCTCTCCCCTTCCTTCTGTGTATGTATGGGCATACCTGGGAGTCTATGTGAGTGANTCCTCTCCCCTTCCTTCTGTGTATGTATGGGCATACCTGGGAGTCTATGTGAGTGAGTGTTGGTCTTCAGACAACAGACAACCAGAATCATAACATTCCTCTTCTTGAAGGGTGATGCAGACACTTTTGTGTTTGCTACTTGGAATTGGCAATGTGCAGGAGTTCTTTTTGTTTTTTTGTTTTTGTGGATGGGACAATTTTCCGATATGTTAGTGGGGAAGTTGGGGAATTCAAATTGTTCAGTGTATATTCTTAAGGGAACGGTGGGCCCGGTTCGCAGAGCATGCAGGAGATCAAAACCGACTGACGCCAGTGCATGTTTGTGCCTTGAGTTTCCTTTTCGTGCCGTGGTGTTGGTTTCTTCATTCCTTCTCCTCCTTCACGTTCTTTGTCTTCTTGTTGGTCATCGGATTCCCCGTCCTCAATTTGTAGGGGTTGTGCTCATGCAGGATGAATTATGTATGTAGAGTAATGTGGCGAAAAAGAGTCGTGCCTGCTCAAAGTACGTCGTTGATGGGAATTATAAGTTGGTGTTGGATTATAGTGTTTGATCATTCTTCTGAATCTCTGGGCGGAGCAACTTTTGCCGCCTCTTAGAGCTAGTCTCGGGGGATCCCAAACGGCTCGGTGGTCGCTTCGTGGCAACATGGAGGAAGGTTTTGGCCGCCTGTTGCTGAGATTGCGCATGCACTTGGGCCGGTCAAAAAATGATAGGGCTAGGCATGCAGTAGCCTGGGAAGTGTGACGTATGACTGGTTTCTACTACTTTCTTGTCCTTTAGCACTGCAATGGAAAAGCCTGGGATGCCTCCTTTCCGAGTGCAAAGGAACAACTATGGAGGCGACGACTTCTGCGAGTGCTGAAAGAACAAAGAGAACACACCATATACCTTTCTCTTTTCTTGCAAGTGATGACCTGACTGGATTTTATTGTAACTGCTCTGTGTGTTTGTGTATGGGCTTCTTCAAGTTGTGGCGGCGATCGAGCATCGTGATGGCTCTGCTTGTGTTGCAAGCTACAGCACAAAGAAAGGACAACAAGCTTGGTTACCACACTCCCACGTCGGCCCTCTTGCATCGGTACCGATGGAGATCAGGAGAATTCAGCTGCGCCATGTAAGCATTTGCCTTTTCATATGCTTCTAACCAGTTGTTGCCATAAACAGCGTCATACCCTTTTTGATTGGTACTGCTGCTGGAAATGCGTAACATTCAGCTGCGCCATTTAAGCATGTTCCTTTTCATATTCTTCTACTAAGTACTTGTCTGCTATCAACAGTTTCGTACAGTTTTATTGATCGATGAGTCAAGGGCCCAAATTTTGTGTGTGTGTGTGTGTGTGTGTGTGTGTGCGTGTGCGTGTGTCTGTATGTGTATGTGTTTTGTAATTTGTGACACACTGGCGGTAAAAAAATTCTTTTAGCTGCTTTCCTGGCTGGGGCCATTTGCTTCAAGCCTGGATGCCTTTTTTTTTATTGAAAGGAACTCTGAGTGGGATGGCACTTGAGGAGGTGATAAGGGAAGTTGGATTGTGGTTGCATCGCGTGTGTTTGCAATCCTCATGCAAATCTCCTGGGCAAGAGCTGCAGCAAGACAATTGACATCCAGTGGTAGAAACGTAGAAGTAAAAAAAAAATGCAGAGAGAGCTCAGAGAGGTAAAAAATAACAAAGAAGCTGTAGTTGTTGGAGAGTTGTCTGGCGGTGAAAACGTTTCTTTCAGTTGTTTTCCAGGTGGTAAAAAATGCAGACAGAGGTAAAAAGTTACTTAGAACCAGGATGAATTTGAAATGGCTGCAGTTATTTGGAGGAGCGTTGTTTGGCGGTAAAAAGCACCAAAAACGTTTCTTTCAGTTGCTTTCCTGGCTGCAGTTGTTTGCTTCAAACCTGGATGTTCTTGGGGGTTGCATCTTGTGTGAGTAGGCATTAAATGAATTTGAATTGGTGTGGTCCCACAGATCAGTACCGTCTTCCGCAACATTGAATGCCTGGTCACTATGGTTGGATTTAGACTGAAAGTTGCCCCAAACACAGTTATAATTTCTGGGTGGCGGTTGGGTCCCACCTGCATCGAGTCCATGGACCACCAAAGTCGCCGATGTGCAGAGGACATGTGTCAGGTTCACCCGCACGTAAAAGGATCGACGAGAGTCTGACGCACGTCGGTCATCCCGTCTCTCACATGGTCTCCCGACCATACGTGCTGTGGTTCGTTATTTTCTGAGTTTGTTTTCTCCTTTTCGTTCTTTCTTTCTTTCGGTTTTGAAAAGGCAAATGCTTAATTGTGTTAAAGAAAGTTAATTCAACTTAATTGTGTTAAGGATAACAGCAACTTAATTGTGTTAAGGATAACTTTAAGTCTTAAGGATAATTTTTTAAGTTTTAAGTTTTAACGTTTGATCTGTTTACACTCAGTGCTCGCTCATTGGATAATGCCACTGTAAAAAATCTGAAAGGGATGATGTTGGCGTACATCTCTTATCATTCCCCTTAGTGAGCCTCGCTGCACCACTCACCAAATGTTCAAACTGAGAATGCATTTCCTGCCAAAACGTGGAAAATTACACCCACCACAGTTTCGTCTGTTACGATGGGCAAAACAAGAAGGCATCTCCTCCTAAAAAGTGGAAAGATGCACCCGCTACAGTTTTGTCTTTTTCACATTTGGTGAATGGTGCGACGAGGCCCACAGTCTCATCTGGATTCCACACTCCTTACTTTCCCTTTGTCTTCCTTTGCCTTGTCTTCCCTTGCTCCATCCTTCCTCCCTTTGTGTCTCCTCCTCCCCCTTTACTGTCTTCTGCCTCTATTCTGCCTCTTTTTCACAGCGTGCAAGTGGGCTGTTCTGAGACACTGGGGTGTAGGTTGCTCATGCTCGAAACAGAAACCACCACCAACCAAGCCGGAGTACACAGCCTTTATGGCATTTGTTTAGACAGTGGTAGGTAGATCCTGCGCCAGGTCCAATACCATTGATGTCCAATCACTTTGATAGTGGTAGATAGTGGTAGGTAGATAGTGAAAGGTGAAATTGATAGAAGAATATAGCTAAGTTAAAAATATAAAAAAATTGGCAAATTGCAGGATCTAGTACGATCTACTGCCTCATCCATGGAATATAGTGATGATGTCAAGAGTGTCGTACAGTTGTATTGGTTGACGAGTCAGGAGCCTGAAAGTACGAGCAAATGATGGTACTGCAATGAACATTAGAGCCTTGTATGTGAGAGGGACGGTAGAGGGAGACTGAAAGTAGAAAGGAGAGAGAAACCGTGAAAATACTAACATTGCCAAAAAAAAGAAAAAAATAGGAAGGAGGGGGACGATGAAAAGGGAGGTGCAGCTACTGGCAAAGTGCTCTGTCTGTGCGATAGCCGGACACAAACTTTGCTCTTTTAGTCCATGGTACCATACATATGTCACAGTATAATATGGTTATATATATTATGTTAATGTCAACTAAAAGAGCACAACTGCTTGTGGGGAATTAAACGCATGAGCAGGCGTTCATGGGGAATCGAACCCATGACCTCGTGAATAATGTCTTCTTCTTCTTCTTCTTCTTCATCTTTCCCTCTCTCTCCTCTCAAGTTCATTTCTTTTTGCAATTGGACAGCATTGTACTCATGAATGTGTACTTCAAAATTGGCCAGGATCATAACAGACAAAATATTATGTCCCAGTCCCTCGCTTTTTGTAGGGGCTTGCTGAGAGGAGGCACTAAAAAGGCTTCCTGTGCAGAATGCCACCGGCCCACACGTGAAGGTCGCGGCAAGAGAAACGTCCCTAAGCGAAGGCCAAGCCAGAGGGTACCGAGCCTGAGACAGGCACCAGCCTCTGTAGCTAACTGGTAGGCGCAGCCTCCTGCGGGTTACACATGCTGGGACCCGAGCGCAGACCCGTAGGCAGTCGGTACTGCCTACTGGGACCTGGGACCCAGGCCGTGGCTTCCAGAAGAGACGACTGGAGGGAGGTCTCTGGGGAGAACACATTTGGGCATTGGCAGCATGCAGTGCTGGAGCAGCGAATAGCTCCAACACCTGGCTCCAGCTCTGCATGAGGCCAGCGCTTGCTATACCTGGGAAGCTATTCTCGTAGCAGCTGCTCCCTCTCGCCCGGTGACCTTTTCGCTTACCCCCTCCAACAGCGTGCTACGCAGCTGCTTCCTCTCCGGGCAAGTGTTATTCGGAATGACTAGGTGTAAACGCAGTGAAGGGCACCTAGGCTGTGAATTAGGCACGAAGCGGTGAAAGTCGCCAGCTCAACTGGTGGAATGCCTTCAAAACCGGTTCACTGGAGTAAGATAGAGGAAAGTGGAATTTCTAGTTTAGACTCTTTAGAGAGATAAAATTCATAGATAATGGAAGGAACACCAAAAGCGAAGGCAGCTTTCTGGGTCTCTGCTGATGCTGAGGTGCACATGGTAGCGAGGTGTTGGAGGAGGTCAGCGAAGAGGAGGATGACAGTGGGAACAGGCAGCGCTTTCCTGGTGTCGATGAGGGGCACATGCGTGAGCAGACTCTTCAGCAGCGTCTTGCAATAAATCGCAGTTCCGTAGTGCGGTTATACGCTAAAAGTTTGGCTTTGTAGTTTGTTTTCTTTCTTTGAGCCTTGCGGTATTTGATCCCGTGACCTGTAACTCATGTGTTTTGTTTGTGAGTGTTGTGTCCTATGGGACTTTATCCCGTGTCTGTCACTAGTAGTCTCTGTTTGGTAGCCTTAGGCCATTCGACCTTTCTAGGTCCCCTTTCCCCCTTGTTTCCATCTAGATACAGATGAGTCTTGGGTTGTTGCCTTTGGAATCCCTCGTAGGTCTAGGCAGAGGGTAGAACTAGCGGGCAGGAAATCTGGTTCGGGTCTTTTCACTTTTTCGTTGGCTGAGGAAACTCTGCCCGTCCGTTGTTGGAGTGCTGCTGCTCTATTTTGGGCGAGGTCATCTTGTTCCTCGAAGCCCAGCCATAGCTGGGGGTTGGGAAACAAGTTGAAGATCGCACTGCTGCTATTTTGCAGCTCTGCATTTGAGCTTCCACAGGACTGTGTTGTTGGGTCTGGGTGTTGCCATTTTCCACTTGGCAGCCATATCTGCTGTTCCTCCTCACGAGGAACTTCATCTTCTTTGAAGTGCTGGATCGGTTGTCTCCTTCTTTGTCAGGACTTCCAGCGCTGCACTTTCGTGTGGGCGCTGAGCTGGCACTGCTATCATTGGGGTCACTGGTTCAGATTGACAAATTGTGACAGCTGTGGGGTTACTGCTGCTACCGCAGCGATAGCCAGGGGTATGAGGTGGCGAGGAGGAAGAAGAAAACTCCTGCATACTTCGTTGAACATTTCTTTTTGGTTGTTCGGGGTTGTTGTAAACGCGGTTGTGATTCTTGGAACAACTACTGCATTGATTGGAGGAGGACGAGGGATTGCAGAATTGAAATTCGTTTTTCAATTCTCTGTGTATTTTGAGCTTCCGCTGTGCATATCTTCTCGCCGGTTTTGTGTGGATTTGCTTCCTTCGAGTCTATTCTGCAATTGCATGCGTGTATGGGAACGTGTGAATTCGTTGTGGATTGAAGTTCAATTGGGTACATCACATTTGGCATTGGAGCTGCGGCCGTGTGCAATTGGCGAGCAATTGAGCGGCAACCTCCTTTCTGAGCGCAGTTGGAGTAGGGACTTGTTGTCCGCTTTCTTCAACAGATGCCGTTGGTGAGAGGTGGTGGGAAGTAGTGTTCGAGGAGAGAGTTACTGCTATCAAAAAAAAAAAGAAAAAAAGATATGGAATGGTGGAACGTTGACTGGAAGTTTCAGCTGGCGAGAGCAGACCGCTGCGTCATCCGCCCTAAATGGTCTGGTTGACCTGAGGGCCTTGCGACCCTCAAGTTGCGGGCCTTGCCTGTTGACGGTGTGTTCGACCTTCTGGGCCGCTGCTGCGGTTACTTCGACGAGTGACTTGATTGGAAGACTGCGGGAATCTTTGCTGCAGGTCTGACGTCAGCGTCAGCATGGTTCTACGATATTTTGCTGCAGATTGGGGGTCAATGGTTGACCGGCTAAATATCTTCAATCAAGACTTGCTCGAGTGAGTTCGTTCCGGGGATCTCCTGACCTGACGTTCGACCCTGTCAGA